AACCCTAATTGCTTCACAAGTTAGAGGGATCAAACAATACAGATTTGATATCAAACTTAGCAATAGATTGCACAAAATAATCCACTAGTAGGCCTCCTAGTAATTAAATGCATCATCATATGAAGATATGCACAGAATAACATTCAATACTTAAACATGAAAATGAACACTAAATAAAATAGATTGGATCTCACAGTTGGTTGATTCCGAGGGTCTCCGTTCTCTTCGACCAAGTTACAAAAATTAGCCACTCATGGCATAAACAAAAACTCAAAAAGAAAGAAAATTGCAGAGAAGGAAGAGAGAGCGTGGTCCCTTTTCCCCAAAACCTAATCTGATCCTCTTAGCAAAAATCATTTTTTTTTTAGAATTTGAACCCACTCAATCTAAAAGAAATTTCTCCTATCCTAAAATAACATTTATCCTAACCTGATTAATGGAAATAAAATAAAATAGGGTTCTTATAAAATAGGAAAGTGGTGTTTCCAGCTGTAATTTTCGTGCAGCAAGTATGTCTTCAAAACGTGCAATAATAGAACTGACTTGCATGACAGTCAGAAAGCTCCAGGACGTCGGCAATGCAGGTGTGTCAACTTCAAGCTCGATTACAACCTTTATCAGCCAGTATCCTCAAACTCAAAACATGAAAGTTGTAGATCTCGTTCTTAGCGTTCACAGCATTTTGAATAATCTCCAATCGGAGCTCGGATGAGACAATTATGCCGAGATTACGAAGCAGTGGCGAAACTGCCCGAATTCCCCTAATTAATTCCGTTTTTCAATTAACACCTCCATTTGCTTCCTAAACCAAAATAAAGTAATAATGGGTACAATTAGGAAACAAATACGTATAAAAGAGTAAACATTAAGGGGGTTAAATATGACATTTTGCATTCCCATCAATAATTTTAAGTTAAGTTAAAAAAAACCTTGAAAAAAAAAATGGGCCAAAGTGGAGAGTTTGACCGAATTGGGCCGAACAAATGCAGCTCATTCTAATTAACCGGTTAACCAAACCGAATTTTTGGTTCAGTTTTAAATCGGTTTATAACCAAAATCGGACCGGTTTCAGTTCAATTTTTTTTTTGAAACCGAAAACCGGTTCGGTTCAAGATACCGGTTAACCGGTTTTTTCCACCCTTAGGTGTAGTTACAAGAATTATTATTTTGATTTCTTATTTTATAATACATGTTTTAATAGTATTATGATTTCAGTTAATTGTTTTAGTAGCATTAGGATAGTACAGAAATAGATATCAAAAAGTTATTATAAAATTGAGCGATCAGATTTGACAACTTATTACACTAATCAAATGGATACTAATGTCTTCTTCAATAATCTAAATGAGCAACAAGTCGTGTATGTTTTAACTGAAAAAGAAATCATTATTGGAATTAGACAAGAAGAGAAAAAAGATAATCTTAAGGATGGTAGTACAAAAATACCAAAAATTTCATGCCAATAAGCTCTAAACATGCTTGAAAGTTAGAAATATTTAGCTTCAACAAGAAGGTGTTTATGTTGGTGACTTATTACGTACCTGCAAGATAAAATATCTGATAACAATTCTAAAACAGAAATCATTGTCTCAAACAATTTTAAATAAATATTTTATTTCATCTTAAACCTTTAACATAACATGATAATCCGTGGATTATACAGTTTTCTTTTCTCTTTTTATTCGGATTTTAAGTACTTTGTGGTGCATTTTGACCTGAATTGTTGTTTAATTCTTTACATTCTGTGTTTCAGGTTAAAATAGACAATTTATGCAAATAAGGACAAATTTGGAAGTTTTTGACTCTAAAGTTAGCAGATCTCAGAAGTTAGGAGAGTTCGGAAGTAGGATAAAACACGATGAGGCTTGTTCCAAAGGGAGAGCATCGAAAATCGAAGAAGAAATCGAAGAAGCAAGCAGAGTGGCAGTTCTGTAATTTCAGAACTAGTCAAATAGCTTCGCCCCGGCGAAGATTTTTCCTTCGCCGCGGCGAAGTACGCCAGAAACTCCAGATCTGTTTCTTTCTTCGCCGCGGACGGTCATTATTTGCAGTTTTGTTAAACGCACAGTTTCATTTTGTGTGTGTTTTTGGGCAAGGTATAAAAGGAAAACTAAGCCTTTTGTCCAAGGAGTCTTCGTTTTTAAGTTAAAGAGCTTTTACAATTTCTTAGGAGGAGTTTTTGATGCGATTTTGGATTGTAACAAGGGTGAAGATTCGATTCTAACTAAGNTACAAAAAATATAACAAAAAACTATTAATATTTACTTGTATTGCCCATGGGAAGCCAAACAAATTGTACGTCCTAGGTCTATTCTTCTCGGCCCATTGGGAGTGCTTAAACGCCATGTCTTTTACTTGCAAGGAGTCCATGGTTCGCTTAAATGATACCCGTCCCCACAGATAAACATTAAAGAAGTCCAAGTTGCTTGCAAACATCACCCAATCAATATCAACGACTTTTGTTTAGTCACCAGCCATTAGGATCGAATGTAAGAACAATACCAAGCATAGTTTGAACTTCTCTGAATCAGTTAACCGAACTGCTTCTATCCTTTGCTCTAAATCGTGTCCCGTAATAGATGCTTGCCCCTGCAAAACCTTGTTAGCCAACCTTATAGCTGCCCTACTCTCCTTTATTCTTCATCCCAAAACGTAATGACTTTCCATCCACCACGAACCACATTTCTTGCTTTTTTTTGCTTTTAACTGAGGGCAGCAACATATAATGCACTCCCTGCCCCGAGAACACTTTTTCCAATTTGTTCCAATATCAAAAAAATGACCGAAACAAGTCTCTTTGAATCGGTCTTCACCATTCCTCACTCCATCTAAAATCCCTTTTATTCTCTTAAAAACTTCCCAACTCGACCTGTCTGTCACCCTTACAGGGAAGTACGGTACCTTATCGCTTACCATGTCCAACCCGTAGTCTTTACAGTTTACGGTCTGTAAAATCTGCACAATCGATATAAACAAAATATCAGCAAAAAAAAATAAACCAAAACAACTAATAGGCTGCCAACATACTTTGTTAACAAAGAAAAAATATCATACAATCAATTTAGCAATTACCTCTGTAAAGAGAGATTATTACATAATTCAGGAGAAATTACCTATGTAGTCGGTTAAGCGATTTCGGATTGCTTAAAAGATCTTGATTCCGCCTCGTACAAGACTCTTAAGCGATCTGAAATCGTTTAAGCGATCAAGAGTAAAAGCCATGAATCGTTTAAGCGATCTTAGATATGGGCAGATGATTCTGCCTCGGACAAGATCTCTTAAACGATCTGGAATCGCTTAAGCGACCAAGAGTAAAAGCGATGAATCGCTTAAGCAATCTTAGATCTGGGCAGATGTTGATTCTACCTCGGACAAGATCGCTTAAGCGATCTGGAATCACTTAAGCGATCATGAGTAAAAGCGATGAATCGCTTAAGCGATACAAAAGATCGCTTAAGCAACAATACAGAGCAAAAGGATGTTATTATGACTTGCGTACATTTCTTCCTACCGATATATGAATTTATTGAATTCAAAAACTTAATTGCACTATCTTATTTCATGACAGGATAAAAATGACCCTTGATTAATCCATCTATCAATAGTTCAACACACAATGAAAAGCTTTTAATCATTCAAATTCCACCAGTGGTTTTTCATCCACAAGCAGTACACGAGAAGTACACCATCACATATCTAAACTAGTAGCATCACTGACATGAAACATGTCGACACCACAGCCATGCACCAAACAAAGGCTAAGCAATATAGAATTGGTATGGCGAACTAGAATACAATACAGTACCAGAACTCCCAAAACAAGTACGTACCCTTTCTTCGCTGGCCTCCTCCTCGCCTGAATTCTAGCCGGCCTCCTCCTCCTCGCTTGAATTCTCGCCGGCCTCCTCTTCCTCGTCTGAATTCTCGCCGGACTCCTGTTGTTGTGCCACCGTCGTCTCCTCTGCCTGTGGACCACCTTCACTAATCGAATGATCCACCGAAGCAACCATTGAATTGCTTACGCCATTGGACTCTAGGATTCAAAGTGGCTTTAGGTTTTCCTCCTCATTGTGAATGTTAGCCATGGTTTTAAGAAAGGAAGCTTTAGGATTGAATTTGGTGTGAAAATTTGCAATTTCGATAGTGAATGTGGACTATATTGCCGGAAATCGCAGAGATTCCGTTTAGGGTTCAAGAAATCGATTTTAGGATTGAATTTGGTGTGAAAATTTGCAGTTTCGATTGTGAATGTGGACTGTATCGTCGGAAATCGTAGAGATTCTGTTTAGAGTTCAAGAAATCGATTTTAGGATTGAATTTGGTGTGAAATTTGCAGTTTCGATTGTGGATGTGGACTATATCGTCGAAAATCGCAGAGATTCCATTTAGGGTTCAAGAAATCGATTTTAGGATTGAATTTGGTGTGAAAATTTACAATTTCGATTGTGAATGTGGATTGTATCGTCGAAAATCGCAGAGATTCCATTTAGGGTTCAAGAAATCGATTTTGAGATTGAATATGGTGTGAAAATTTGTAGTTTCGATTGTGAATGTGGACTGTATCGCCAGAAATCGCAGAGATTCCATTTAGGGTTCAAGAAATCGATTCTTGCCTAATCAGTTTCGATTAAGCAATTTGAATGGGTGGGGCTCATTTTTAAATTTCAAATTTTAAAAAACTTTCATTAATTATGATTTTACCCACATATGTTTAAATCTTTTTATTTTAACCCATTTTACATGTTTAATAAATCCTAACTGTGTGACATCAGCTTTTCTAAATTAAAAAATAAATTAAAACATTAAAAAAATTAAAAGGATTTTCAAGGCCATTTTATTAAATGGAAACTTGTAATGTCCGGGGAGTTAAATTTTTAATTTTCTTCTATATATGATACTCCAGTTCGGCCCAAACACAGTCAGCCTGCTCCATGCTTGTAATGTAAACAGTAAATAAGATGCTTGTAGAAGTAACAGTATGTAATTGTGTCGAAGAAGGAAAGCATTTTTGTACAAGCTAAGCCACTCCACCAAGTCAGAGAAGAAATGAAACGAAATGAATTAAATTGAGCATCCACCATTCATTCATTTATGGACTCTTAAAGATCCACCTCCAACATTCCTTCTTCTATCTGCCATTCTTTTCCCTCTTCAATTCCGACTAGTTAAAGGTTCTTTTCTTTTCATTACTCTTTTTAGGGTTTTTATTTCTTTTCATTTTTGCTCTTTAATTTATCAATCTCTTTCTTTGCTTTCTATAAGTTGATGTTTTCAATTTCAGAATGGCTTCAATGGGCAAATCTTTCTTTTTTTTTTTTTTTTTTTTTGGTTTTGTTTGCACATGATTATATTCACTGTAGAGTTGTTGCTATGTTGCTTTATTCCGTGGAGGTACATGATTTCTGTGTAAATAAATGTTTTTATGTATTATTAATTATGCTAAACCGGGAACCTCAAGGCCTCGATTGTTAATTGTTGTGAAATTCGGCTGTCATGGAATCAATTAAGTCTTTATATTTAATTTACTTGCTGTGAAATTCAGTTAATTGATTAGATGGGTAAGGAAAATCTGTCGCAAACGAAGACTGGTGGAATTAGCAATGAAGTGGGCTCTCTTGAGTCTCAAGATTCAGAGAGGTACTCACGTTATAGTGTAGACAAGGAGGCAGGCTTGGCAACTTGCCGTGTGTGCCAATGTGCTGAATCTGACAAAAGAGGAGATGGTGCATTAGGCTTTTTGGGTATTACTGTTCCTTTGCAAGAATCACTTAAAAGCAATGGAGAAATACAACCTGATGTCAAACAAGTGCAAAAAGATGGTGAAAGTGCCAAAAATGTTGGGAGAGAATCTGGTTTTGTTGAGTTCATAAGCCCTGATGGGGAAGTTTTCGTTTGTAATGCCGATTTAGAAATGGGTACATGTAACAGCCAAGACGCTCTAATTGAACTTGGTTGTTGTTGCAAAAGTGATCTTGCTTTGGTACACTATGCGTGTGCCCTTAAATGGTTTGTTAATCATGGATCCACTGTTTGTGAAATCTGTGGGCATGTTGCAAAAAATATCAGGATTGCTGACTTTAAAAAGGTTGTGGTTTCATTAAAGGATTATGAAGCATTAAGAGAAAGGACTGCCAGTGGAGAACCGAGTCCTGCTCAGGTGCATACAAGTTCAGTTGTTGATCCTGATGCTGTTGCTGCTATCAGAAGGCAACGGCTAAGTGAGATTTCATTGTGGTTTAGTCCACATGGTCATAATATTCATCATAATAGTAACTCTAATGCAGTTTCTCAGTTTGTTTCTGAACAACCTTTGAATACTGTTACTGAAGAGGTGGTCACTGCTGAAAATCCTGCAACAAAATGGGCTGTGGAAGGTACTGGGATCTTGCTTGCTACTGGCCTACTTACTGTCACTCTTGCATGGCTCATTGCTCCTCGTGTTGGAAAGGTGTGTTAGATTACCAATCGTTATATACTTCATTTGGATTATTGTAGATGAGGAAGTTTGCTTTTAATTTCTTACTATTGTGTTGAAATGCAATTTCATTGGTTTCTTACTCATCTTATATGCTGAGGTTCTATGCTTGTGTAGTCAGGACTGGAAGGTTTGCATAAATTCTAGCAGCTAGTACCTACGCAAAATTAACATGACAGTGATGGATACAGTACCTACTTGATAGGAAGCCTAAATAAATAGAGTATTTCTGTATTAACATATTAATTGTTGTCATGTTGGTTTGAGTTGGCATGTGATACTTGGCCTTGTGTCAATCTTCTCAATAGTTGTTAAGCTTTTCTATAAGCTTGTGTTCGTACTATAATATTGTACTCGGTATGATTACCAATAAGCATAATTCTTATTACATAGGATGTTGTAGTTGGTATGATTAGTACTTGTGATTCAACAAGAATATTTGTTTATATAGTGGTTCAGTATATAGTCTCAATAACAGCTCTTATGATATTGTTTTCTAGTTAATCTTATCTAGCATTATTCTCTCCTCTGATTATATGTTTATGAATTTTATGCATCAAAGACCTCGTTTTTTTTTTCTCTCTCTCTAGACTATCCTGATATACTTTTGTAGTTTTAAGTGGCATTTGTTTATATCATTTATGGGAAGAATTAGTGATTATCAGTTAATATATGAATCAAACATAAAGTGGTTCTCTTAAATTCTTGAAGTTTGAAGTTCTTAGTCTTGATGCTGTGCTGTGAAATGAATTATAGTTAATTTATTGTACTAGAAGTTTACAGCTGTTGTGACCAATGGTTGTCCATCTCTTTTGAGAAACCCTTTTCTTGGACACGACAACCAGTTGTTTTTTTTTTTTTTTTTTTTTGATAATTAGAAGATAAGTATTCCCTGTTGGCTTTCTAATGCTTTAACAATAGTCAGAAAACAAGTTAAAATTCTGTGCCTTTAAGCGTTAAGGAGTAACGGCACAACCAAAGTACAAACAAAAGGAAGGAAACAAAGGAACACACCAAAACATGAGGGCTGTTACTTCTTATTGAAACAGACAGTGTAAATTTTAAGTTGTTTTCCTCTGTTTTTTAAGATCATTTGATGTCCTAAATTTGGCCATTAATGTTATCATTAATTTGTTTCTCCTGTTTCAAGTGCTCTTGTGTAATTATTATGCTCTAGGATCGGATGGTCTTTTTTGCCCTTTTGTATGTTATATTTATCAAATAGGAAAATGGAAAATGTTTCTTGTGGAAATTACCCTGTATGTATTTGAACTCATTCTTTTGTATTTTGTGATTATATATATTCTATTTCTGACGCTGTCAACCTTGTTTTCTTTAGTGCTTTATTTGATAGACTCAGATTTGATGTGCAGAAAACTGCTAGAAGCGGTCTTCATATTCTCCTCGGAGGCATTTGTGCTTTAACTGTTGTGGTCTTCTTTCGCTTTGTAAGTAGCTTAAATTCTATTTCATTTGGTTTTGCATCTTCCAAGCATAGTTTAGTTTTATTGGACTCTGTATGGGTTTACACATATGATTGCTAACATTTTATTGGCTCCTTGGGGTTACTTACTGGGATATTATATCCCATGAGCTTCCTTGCTACCAAGGTTTTAGGGTTGAGAAGTAGCCCCTAGTTTAGATTACAGTAAACATATAAGGAAGGTCAAGGAATCTTTCGGTATGAGAAAAGAAAGGAATGTGTGACCAAGGTTTTGCTGCTAACTTTTATATCAATTCCTTAGGTTTAGAAAC